CATTCGCCGAAAGCGACGCGTTCCCGAACAACGATGAAGGAGATAGATGAGACGGATGCGTTGCAGACCGCACTGCGAGAACTACGAGAAATGCGGGCCGAACGAGAACATCAGCAAGCTCGCTTTGAGGCTCTTCTCCGAGAGAAGGACGAACAGCTGCACCAGCTCGAATTGAGGATCTCCTCGCAGCAAACTAACCAGCTAAGTCCTAATATAAGAGCTTCCGGGGATACGCGACTAAATTTAGCTTGCGCGAGTACCGCGAGTGCCGCGATAGCCGCGAGTGCCGTGATAGACGCGGGCGAGACGACCGGTGACTTTCGTGCGAAAACGGGCTTAAAACTGAAGCCTGATACATTCGATAAAAGGGTTCCGCTGCGGGAGTTCCTCTCCCAATTTCTTTTGATAGCCGTTGCAAATAATTGGGATGAGAAAGCAAAAATGATTACTCTCGCTGCAAATTTAAGGGAAAAAGCTCGGTCCGTTTTAGAAAATGTTGAGAATTTTGAAGAATTAACGTTCGCAAAATTAAAATCAAAATTAGAGTTGCTTTTTGAAGACGGAAACATGACACAAAACTATTACTATCTTTTTACGACACGGAAACAAAAATATGGAGATTTCGCTTCCTTTGGGGCCGAAATTGAGAGACTGTCGCGTCTGGCTTACCCCGAATGTCCATATGCGGTCCTCGATAAAATAGCATGCGCGCAATTTATCTCGGCATTGATAGACGGATTTGTCAAAAGAACCCTTCAACTGGAAGGAATTACATCTTTAAACTTGGCTATAGAAAGAGCTAAGGCCATAAAAATAATTCAGAGGGATAGTTTTGAAAGAAAAAGAGACAATTTTGGTAATAAGGGAAATTACGGGAAAACAAGTCAAAATTATCAAAAGGGAGAGAGGAGCAACGCGCGAACCGATTCCGAAAAAAGAAAAGCGAACGGTTTAACTCGAAAGGGAAAGCGCAAGCGAACAACTTTTCGGCCAAAGAGAAAGAATGTTGGTCTTGCGGGAAGATCGGGCATTTGCGTTTTCAATGTCCTGAGGCGAAGGAAAACTAGAGATAGTTGAATTTTTCGGGGAAAATTCAACTCTTACAGAAAACGCCCCGACGTCCGATTTTGTTGATCTCATTGATTGTAGTGTTAGAAGGATTTTTAAGAAAGATTCTTATTCGTATTTCGGTAGATTGAATAAAAAGGAGTGTCTTTTTAAAATAGATACAGGCTCTGATGTATATTAAATAGCAGATTAGTGGGAGAAGATCTTGAAAAGATTCGAGTCAATGATATTAATTTGAAATATCCGACGGGAGAGAAATTTTTAATTAAATTCTTAGTGAAAACAAAAATTGAAATCGGAAATTATTTGATTGAAATTCCGTTATTAGTTGCTGAAATTAATGATCAATGTATTTTGGGAATGGATTTCCTTAAAATGATTAATTTGGAAAACGTTTTCGATAAAGTTTTTAATAAATCCACTTTTGACAACAAAGATTTTCAATGTTCAAGAATAGAGAATTTTCCAAAAGGAATCCCGTCTATTTTAAAAGAACTTTTCGAAAAGAGCTCGATTCATTTGCAGAGAAAACAGAAAGAAACCTTTATAAATTTTCTAAATGAATTTCAAGATCTATTCTCCTGTAATATTGTTGCTGGGAATTGCAATATTATTGAACATGTCATAAATGTAAAAGACTCTCTCCCCATAAAACAGGTACCCCGTAAGATTTTTTTCAGATGAGGGATGAGGTTGATAAAATAATGGAAAAGATGAAAATAGAAGGAATCATAGAGGAATCTCAAAGTCCTTGGGTTTCGCCAGCTGTTATGGTCAAAAAGAAAGACGGAACACTGAGATTCTGTGTTGATTACCGGAAACTTAACACCATCACGGTAAAAGATTCCTATCCCTTCCCTCGAATTGACGACATTTTGGATCAGTTATCAGTTGGAATTTTTAAGAAGAGGCTTGCCTGAGTTTTCGGTACCAGAAGATTCTCTGAGGAAGTTCCTGCGACTATTACTCATCGAGGGCAACTGGCTCCTTTCAATTGAGAAGACCGTCTCATCTTCAGAAGATTGGTCATTTGATTCGTCGCGTTGAAGACTGTCCCTCTCGTGGTTTTTGATCCGTGGTTTTCCCACGAGACTGAGGGCAAATGCCGGGACAGAGACTTAGGGTGTTCACGAGGAACGTTGGGTCCACGGAAGATATTCCCCCCTTTGTCTGAAGATTCATGGACCATTTCGTTGTCCTTCCGGAAGACGGCGAGTATAGTGAAACCGCGAGGACAGCAGGGATATCTTCTATCAACTCGACTGTTATAGGAAAATCTGGCCAATTTTTTTCAAAAAAAACAGTTCGAGTACGGAGAGGAGGAGGGCGAAGCTCGGTAACCTGTAGCAGCAGCTAAGGGAGAGCAGGATTCGTCCGGACAATGTAGACGCAAAAAGAGAGGGACCAGGCGTTTCGTTCGGTAACCTGTAGCAGCAGCTAAGGGAGAGCGAAGTATCGTTGATGCCCTGATAGCAGCGTCAGAGTCTTGGGTTTTCAATCTCCGTGAGAATTGTCGGGACAACAATTTTGAAGAAGGGGGGCAGTGTTGCGCCCCCGTGTTACGCCCCTGGATCTACATCTTTGTATCGAGAGATACTTTTCACGGGATCAACTCTTTACGCCTCCGGGAGATCGTCGTCAAGGGAGTTATTGTTAAACAACTAAGGGTCTTCTTCTGTTTTCGGGAGAGATGACAGATTTGGTCTAGCGGTCGCATCGTGCGGACGTTTTCCGAGACCGGAGCTTCTTTGCATTACGAATGCACTATTTGTTATATTTCATTGGTTTCGTGTATTGGATCTTTATATTAAAGTTCATTTCCCTATTACGCGAGTGTCTTTATTTCGCGCGCGAGTGAGAGTGACTGTGTGTGAGTGAACGAGAGGCGTCCCGAGGACGCAACAATATGTCTCCAAAAGAATTGCGCACAATTTGTGGTGTTTATAATCCAATTACGTTGTGTATTTGTTTTATTTACTATCACAATACGCGTGCGTACATTTTTTATGTCTACATGTGTGTTATGGATTTGTGAGCATCGCTACAGGGGCACAAAACAAAAGTATTATTATTACTTCTCATATAATTGTTCAATAAACATATTTGGTGCTTTGCGTTTACGATATCTGATTATGGAAACAAATATATGGAACCATATGGAACAAATTCGTAAATATATGGTCACACGAATTTGTATGTATATGTATTTGTGCAAAATACATCAAAATTTTATTTATAGAATAATATAAGCATTGAACAAAATTCAAAAATTAAATTTTAAAATCGATAATCGTGTAAGAATATAGGCCTAAAAATAAATGTTCATCAATTAATATATTAAATCTCTAAAAATATTATAATATAGTAATATATTGATTATATATGAGAAGTATGTACTTGCGTAATACTGATGCATAAGTTTCTTTGTGTCATGTAAAGTGTTATATAAAATATTTTAAATTCAAAAGCCAATGTTTTTTATTCTCGGATGTCCGGCAAATTTTATGTACCATAAAGAAAGAGGAAATGCAAATACATGCAAAAATAGTATTTAAATTGTACTTTCTTGATCTGTGAATGAAACGCGAAAAAAATTTTTTACTATATTGTTATAATTATTTTTTTAGTAATTATGAATTTAATTGACTATTATTTGTAAAAATGTCCGATTTTTATTTTAAAACTACAAATCCAAAAAATCCATATATATATATAGTTAAAAATTTAAATTAAAGAATATAATATATTTAAACTTATCAGTAATTATATGAATCGATAAGTATCTGTCTATTTGTTAATTATAATGCTTCTATTTTGTTTCATAGTTATTCCATTTAAAGAATAAGCAACGATTATTTAACTATATATTATCCAACGATCGACTTAGATAAGAAAACGCGAATAAAATCTCTTTGATTTTTATTTAATCTTTATCTTGTTTTTAATTAAAAAAACAACATATGCATGTTTTTCTATTTATGTATGTACAGTAAAAACAAATTCATCTTTTGAAGATATATATTCAGGTACAATTTGCAATAAAAATCTCGAAATTGAAAAATTTGGTGGTTGGTTCCCCATATTGTATAACTGCATTCAATCTTTAGTAATTTTTGCTTTTATTTAATTATTATTTTAATATTATCTCATAAAAATTTAATTAAACATTTTATTAAATATAAACGATAATCCAAAAGTAATAAACATAATAAAATTATACTTGATTTTCGCGAAAATTTGACTATGACATATAAATAGAGAAATTAATTTCTAATTAAGTAAATATATATTCAGATTTACGCGAATATCTATACATTATATGCTACTGTATAAATACCAAGCTGTTCCGTTCATACTAATGTTTCTTATTAAATCCTTTTAACGAATTTGTGATAAAGAAAGTGTATATGTCGCGAATCGTTATCAAGAATTTTTGTTATCCAGATTATCGTTTCGCTTTGCTTGATGACAATTCTGCGACAATATGTGAGATCATAATCCAAGTCCGAGTTTTCGAACACAAAGATGACATGTTTTAATATAATACTATAAATGCCAATCGGCTCTAAACAAGTGCTCGTTATAGCAACCGAAATTGGGAAACGTCAACAATATTATGTGAGAAATAATTCACCTACTCTGCATAAATGTTTCCAAATATCTCCGTGTATGTGAAAGTATTTTATGTATTTTTATTCGATACGAAAGTCGGCTCATCCGGTTCTTAATCACACTTTAAGGTTATAAACAAGCGCGATCCTTAAGATCGATTTATGCTCTTGTTTTCCACGCTGATAAATTATAATCGTTAATAAGTATAGATAAATAATAGCCACTAAGACAATTCGGCGCAACTTCTGATCATGAAGACAGAGAAAGAGAGAGAGAGAGAGAGACAGACGTGGCGCATAAAAAAAGGCGGACTTTCCTACCTTTAACGTCATCATCCTCGATCGTTGTGCTACTATCGGTGGATTCCTTCACTTGAGAGCCATCACCCTTCTTCGTGATGATGCTTCGACCTGGAGTGCGCAGAGTGTTTCAGTAAATCGGCATCGGCAAAAAGAAAATGGAAAAAGATGTTGATATACGTATATACGTAAATATATATATGTATATGTATATTTAAAAAATTTGTTCTCTCTTTGGATACCTACTTTATACTACCTCTCTTTTACCAGTGTTCTAATCTTAAATCATATATCAATAGAAGAGGAATATTGCCATATTTTCTATAGAACAAGCCTGTGTCCAAGATTAGTGCGAAATTAGAGAGAAAAAGGTAGTGACGAACAATCGTTTGCAATGCGTATATGCGATATCGTCGTTCACCATCAAAGTATCAACATGGTTAAAGCGCATACAATTTCTCCTGAACCACGGAGAAACTATAGTCTAGTTTACATAAAGCACTTAATACGCGTACCAAATAGTATTTGAGCTGATCAGCCAATAAATGAATCAATTTACTAGTTATTTACTATTTAATACGCGTATCAAGTGCTCGATGTAATTAGGCCTATGACAACGACGATATCAGCGCATGCATATTGCAGATGATTGTTACTACTTTTCTCTTTCATACCAATCTTGATTACAGAGCTCAATTCCATATTCCATGCAATTCAATTAATTCCATTGATGATATGTTCTAAGGTTCTATTATATACAAGGGAGAGTCAATTGAAAATTTTAATATATTTTATCTCGTAATTTATTGAATAAAAGGAACCTGACTCAGACAACAAAACGTCTAAAATCGGAATGTAAGACGTCTTAAAGGAGTCATTAAGATGTATTTTAGACATTATATTAAAATATATCTTTTTCAGACGTCAATAAGATATCTTTAAGACATCTTATATCCCGTTTTTAAACGTTGTTTGGGAAGACTCGCCTCTTTGAGTGTCTTCCACATCCGCCGTCCACAGACCTTGCTTCGAGTGATTTTCACGTCTTTGGACCTCTCAAATTCGAGGCAAGTATCAGGCACTGATGCCAGATTAGACGCATCACAAGCGAAAACCACATATGTACATACATGTAAACGCTGGTGGTTTTCATTTATGTTGTATCTATCTATGGCCTAGTTTACACCCAGCCGTGCACAATCCCGATTCACTCTAGTTAGGTGTGAAGTAAAATTTCTAGGGTGTAAACGGATTAACTTTTATTCCACTTTTACTAGAAGAAAGATAATCCTAATTGAGTCCAAGTAAACGGTCCCTAAATCCAGCTCACTTCGAAATGAATCGGGATTGGACGGCCGGGTGTAAACTAGGTCTATGACGACTTAGCGTTTCGAATCTGGTATCATTAGTCTCAGATCCAAAGAGGTGAAGCCCACAGCAGTGATGCCAGATTCAAGTCACGCTAAGTATTTTAATGTGTTTTAATATGTTATGTTGTATATTTTTAATGAATTTTATAATTAATATTTTTGTAATTTTTAAATATTTTTTATCAATAAAGATGAATCAGTAATTACAACTTTTTATTATTATATTCTGTACAATTCAAAATAAGATCAATAATAAATTAATTTATTAGCTTGATAAATTAAATGTTATATTTTTTAAAAGTGCATCAAATGTTTCATCTCCCGCTAAGGTCCATCACTTAAATTAAATTATTTTCAGCAAAGTATGTATTTTGATTATATAAAAATTAATCTTTAAATAGAGATAGTATATGTTTTTTTAGTATATGTTTTTTAGTATATGTTTTAGATAGTATATGTTTTTAGTTGTGTGTTTCTCACTTTACCTGGTCAAATACGTCTTAATTCGGGGAAAAGAAATAGGCCGGTATTCATTGTCCGATCTTATATTTAAGATCGTCTTAAGTCCGAGCTTAAGACCCCACGGACATTTGATTGGTTGAACAGGATTTTAAGTCAACCTCCGACCAGACTTAAGACGATCTTAAATATAAGATCGGACTATGAATACAGGCCATTGATAAGTTTTATAGAATTCTTTAAATTAAAATAATACTAAACTAATATATAAAATAACATAGTAAAATACATTAAAACACTTAGGATAATATTTGTGTTGTTTGAACGTCCGCTAAAATTAAACAGTCCAATATGACAAATACTCAATCTCTTATACATATGTATACCTTGTCATTGTCAGCTAGAAAACTTATGTTCTCGATATATCTATGCACTTCCGAAACGCTGGAATATTTGTGATACACGTGATGGAGACTATATAGAAAAATAATGTTAGTCTGTACCTTTTGTATTCAATAAATTACAAGACAAAAAATATTTAAGGTTTTTAGTTGACTTTCCCTTGTACATTATAAGCGCGCACGTATATGTGTATTTGTGTGTACATGTGTAACAATGAGTATAAAATAGAAATTGGAAAGAAAAAAGACAAAATCGAGACAGGAAAAGAGAGTCCAACATTATAAAACAAACTAATGTAAAGAATATAGGCCAAAATGAACGAAAGATGGCTTAAGTGAATCCACCCTTGGATGTTTATTATTAGATCCATTTTCGAATGCGTTCCCACAATTAAAACAATTTTTGAAGCATTTCTTGATTTGGAAAGCATATTATCGCTAATATCAAATGCTCAAACATTAAAAAAACATTGTAGACATTTCTTCTTAATGCTTAAAAAATAAGTTCAAACAAGTAAAAAAGCAAGCTTGTTTAAAATCGCAAATGTGTTAATTTAAAAAAACTGCATAGCTTTTTTCAAAACGGGAAATAGAAAAAAAAAGAGAGAAAGAGGAAAAAAAATGAAAAAAATGAAATGAAAAGAAGAAATGTATAATTACTTTTAAAATTTATACATAAGAAAGTTATATACAAGAAAACGTATGGAAAATGATTCTAATTATGTTGATATTGTGTATGAATATTGTATAAATATATTCCTTTCTAATCCTAGCTATAAGTTTAATTGTGATTTGTATACATTAATTAATAACCTAATCAACAATATTTGGAATATATTAGAACATTTCTTTTTAATATTATGGTGCAATATACTAATTAATAAATAATAATCTTTTATGTTTTCAACATGCGGGATTAGGAATGTATTATTATTGACAGTATATACTTTGCATATATATACAGTAATAAGTTTCTGAGACAAATGTAAAGACAATTTTATAAACAACACATAATAACGATGGAGTGATTAAGGTCATCAAAAATTGAAATATAAACATATTGCATCCAGATGAGATATGATGGATAACCATTTCATAAGAAAAAACAAAAACACAGAACAGAATCGTAAACAAAGAGAAAAAATGTTGAAACAAATGCATATATGTTCAGTAAAATGTGTTTATTTTCTGTTTTCACAACTTCTATATTAATGCATTTGCACTTTGTTATTAATTTCTATATATTTTCAGAAAGCAGTTTTACAGTTTTTTTATATTAAAAATTGCTTTTTGAATATATTTAATAGCTGAAAATCTGCAGGAAAAATATACACATGCCGATCACATGCAACAAAATAAATTAATTAAATATATTGTTTATATTGATTTGTTAGATGTACGTTTCTTTAGATATAATCGGAGGCATTACGACAATTTTAAGTGCCTCCTACGCTGGAATTTGATCGTGCATCCCAGTGACAAAGGCTCCATTATTTTGCAAAACTGCAAAAATAATTAAAAAATAGACATCAAAATTTTGCGTCCTCCTTAAACTTTGCGCAATACGCTGGAGCATATATTGCGTATCCTCTTGTAACGCCTCCGAATATAACAAATAAATTGATAAATACTTTCATATATCATTCACAAGAGTTACATTATGATAAAAACTATATTCACAAAAAGAAAGAAAGAAACAAGACATATAAGAATGTAAAATCAAAATTAACTTCAATTTGTTTAATTTAGAGTACGAAAAGATTGACGTAGATATTATTGATATAGCAAGAATAATTATACTAAACATTAATTTATTCAAATAAAATTTAATAAAAAAAAGTATATAAAGAAAAAAGAAAGAGAAAAAGAAAAGAAGAGAGAAAAAAAAGAGAAAAATACAGAGAAAGAGAAAAGGATAGAAAGAGTTCATAATTTTTTCTATATTATTGAAAAATGTTCATATATTTATTTCTATAAAAGATTTTTGTTTAATATAACATCTTTAATCAATCTTTAATATTCTATGTGAAAAATAAAGTTTTAAATTATGTTTTACGAATAAAACTATGTATTTTCAAGATATGTACGATAACTAGTTTATCTCGTTTAATTAGAGTAGATTCATACAAAAAGAGAGAAACACCTCTCACAGAAATTAAACGACCTTTGTGTACTTTTAGATTTTCACTATGGAAAAGTAAAAAATATATTTTATAATTAGAAGCTCTTGAAAAATTTTTGATAAGTAAGTTAAACATTTTTGTGCTTATCATCCCAAGCAAGAATTTTATTTCTTGGCATATTTATTCAGCTTCCTAAATTCCTTCAAGATAAGAATTATCAAATTTAATTTAATGACAAAATTAGAGAAACTTTATATAAACTATTAAATTAATATCATTTAATACATTGTTTGAATAATTTTGAATTACGCGCTCTTACAATAAAATAAAATTTAAACCAAACCATTGTAAACCAAAAAAGAAGTATCAAAAAGGTAGAAACTTTTTCTATTTAACACGTATAATTTATAAAAATGTACTTTCAAATTATTAATACTTTAATATAGATAATAGAAAGGACTAATATAAGAGAAAGAGTTAAAGAGTTAAAGGTACGAATGAAAACTTCTAAATAATTTTAAGCAATGTTAATTAATTTAAAATTAAACGTTTGGTCCCAAATTTCGGGCCATTTTTAGTAACTGTGATAAAAATAGAAACACACATACAAAAAATAAAAAAGAATTTATACCAGAGAAAAATAGATAAAAAACTACATTGAGAGATTACATTCATTAAAAGTGAACGAAATAAAAATATAATAATACAAAGTGTATCATGTCATCATGCATACATGGAATCCTCCACATATTCCGTTA